TATATATATAAATATATAAATATTTATGCTTTTCAGATGGAACTTCAGTTTCCATTTCTTAAAACAATGATGTACTTCAAGCGAAACAAATTCTTGAAATGAAACATATTTATGAAATTATATTTCTATAAATGAAAGAAAATGCTAAACATTTTGAAGACAAATATATAATAATATTATTAGAAGAGGAGGAGTCCGTTTACTTCAGCAATAAGTCTACCTAGACTTACTCCATTCAATAACTCATGTTCCTCATCAAATTTCAACAATCCAACCGTTGAATTTAAAGTTTTTAATGCATAGGTTAAGTCTACAAATTTTTTAAAAAATTAAAAATTATTTGATACTTCATTTCATTAATTTAAATTGATGGATAATCATAAAATCATTCTATACATTAATTTGAATTAATGAAACAAAATGTTAAATGATTTTCAAATTTTTTTAAAATTTACAAATTTAATCTATGCATTAAAAACTTTAAATTCAATGGTTGGATCGTTAAAATTTGATGTAAAACTTGTGTTATTGAACAGAGTAAGTTTAGGTAGACTTACTCCTAAAATAAACGGATTCCTCCTCTTATTATAATATTAAACCCAATATTCATTACCTGTTCTTCCTCCTCTATTGCCCCACTTAATTCTGCACCTCTTAGCATCAATTTTAGCTCATCTTCAGTTACATATGGCTCACTGGTAAAGTAAGCAATGGTTTTAGTGTTGCACTTCAAAAAAATCAACAAAAATATGTCCCACAATCATTGCTTCAACTAACAGATGCCACTTTCCATATGATTTAAATACTAGGTTGGCAAACCATGGTTACTCTTTCAAACTAGGGTTCAAAAATACATTAAAGGAATAAAAAAAACCTATCAACCAAATTAGAAACCAAAATACAGGAAAACTATTATGAAGAATCTACCACATATAAAACCCTCATAATCAATAAAATAATTTCATTTGTTCTCTTTCTCATAACATTTGGGGAAAAAAACTCAACCTTAGGAAATGGACAGATACATGACACATGGGTGAAAATAAAAGAGAATCATACTTGAGATGAAGAAACCAAGATTTAGCATTAGATTAGAATTAGATTTCACAAAAACATTTATAAAGAAGCAAAAGAAATAGATATATTATGATGAGAGAAGATTAATCTCTGGCTATCTTTTCAGCAAACCTTCTTCCTTTTAGGCCAAGCAATTTCAGCATCCCCATTGAAAGATAAGTAACAATCCTTCCTACAGGATACAACACCAGGGAAAGCCATGCCACTGGCCTGACCTAGAGGCATTAGGATCAATATCAATATTTGTTACAAAAAAATTGAAGCAAAAATATCATGTAAATATGAATGATGCGTGACATATAAACACAAATGATTAGTCAGCATCATTTCTGTTCTTAAATATAATAAAAGACAAAATATTTACAACTTACCACGAACCGAGCCACTTCTGTGGCATTATGAACAGCTATGCTTTTTGGAGTGATTTCAGTGAGAAGCAAAATGGCAACCTTGTTTGATTTCAGAGGGAAGAGAGAAGTTGGATATTATTAGAAAAAAAGAATTAAATGAATACATGTGTACAAACTTGCACACCATATGCATTGTTCTGTGATCAACTGATGCAATCAATTTGTTTGAAAAGATATTTTATAATTCTATTGTAAATCCCTTTAAAATCCCGAAAAAAAAAAAAAAAAAAAAAAAAAAAACTGTAACACAAAATAGAATAGGTATATCTTACATCCTATTATGTTGTCTAAACTGCTGATGTTTGGACAGCTTTTGAATGTGTAAATTCAAAGACCATATCACATCAACCCCTTTTTCTATCCTACTCAAAAGTTAGCTTAGGCACCTTTTTCACAAATAGCTTAGACATCTTTACATGTCAAATTCTTGTTCCCATCACATCAGGATTTGCAAGTTTAATGGGCAGCATGTTGATATACTGAAAGATTCAATGTTCCAAATGAATAATAATCAAGTGGCCTAGTGAATCTGATTTTTTTGTAATCAAATCAATGCATAAGCCATTTAAGCATGTTTTGATGTTTTGAAAATAGTATATTTCATTAACATTTGAGAAAGAAAACCAAAACATACAGTCATCACTCCTGTTGCTGCACTAACACCAGCTTCACCAAATATAGCAGTTGCTGCTTCTGTGACCAGAGCAGTGGCCCCAATATTGACCACCCTGCATACAACAAAATATTAACATGAGAAACATTCTATACTCTAGTTGAAAAACATTTTTTTATAATGAGATCAATGAGGAGAATACGTTGTGCCAATAAGTATTGTTGTAAGGAATCGAGTAACATCACTTCGGAGTAGTCTGAATACACCATTTTCAGCCTCCTTTTCAGCCAACTCACGAACCTTACACATTGTCATCAATAGATATTAGAAATTAAGATTCAACTCTAATCAGCTAAACTAGTATAGGGAATAACAAATCTAATGTGCAAAATCTGAGAACATATAAGGAACCAGAAACATTTTTGAAAAGAAAAGGAAATATAGTAATTGATTCTTAAATCAGAAACCTTTAATTTCCATACTAACATATAGGTGAGTTATGAAATCCCTAGCTATCAGTCATTCATAAATTCTGCAGTAAAACCAATATTTCAATCAAATTATGATGTTGTATTAAATTTAGGACATTGGCCCAAAGATATGAATATAAAGCAATATATATCGCATATTGAGCTATTATATCAAGTCTTGATAAACTTATATCTCAATACATGAGAAATGAAGATTATATAAATGAACCAAAGAAATCTTAGTGTTTGCACATAGGAAGATGGCAGATGAATTTTCGGTCAGTATCATCTTAAGCAAAATCCAAATTTTATTTCTTCAAAAGATGAGAAACTTTCAGCAATTGGATGTCAAAATAAATTTCATTGTTAACAATGTTACCATATGATCAGTAAAAATAATGAGTCTCTTTCCACAAAGTTCACCTCCAAAATCCAATCTACTCTGACAACAATCCTTTTGACCAACTTGACCTTATCATTTAGTAGGTCTATACGGAATAATGCTATAATAAGGAACAAAAAAGAGTTCATGTTTCCTAGGCACAGCTCCTACTTTCATACAACATAAAAAGTATAACGCAGAAAAGAAAGCCAAAGTAAACAAGGTACCTTCCATGGCCAAAGCGTGGTGATTGAAGTCTCTGCCATAGAGAAAAAAGCTGAAAGGCCCAAAAGCATTGCCAGCACCAAACCTTGCTCCTTAAATATACGAAGAACCTGTGACACTTTAGGCCATGTATTCCTAAGCAAAAGTATGCTCTGTCCAATAACACCATATCCTGCATTCACAACACCTTCAATAGCAAAAACTCGCGGACATACAAACACCAATATCCCACAAACAGTAGCAGCCAGGATGATTCCCCTCTTCAACAATTCCTGAATGAAATTCAAATTGGCTTTGGAAACAGCATTTCTATCGCTCATACAATCCCCAGTACCACCTAAACACCTCAACCGTGTTCTATCTACTAACTTGGCATCCGCCCCAAAACTTGAAACCTGAAGGCTTCTAAAAGTGGATGAACCAACACAATTGGACGCAAAAGGAAAAGGGTATCTAGTGTTTCTACCCAAAACTTTGATTGGAATGCTCTTTCGGCAATTCTCGTGCGAAGGGTAAAACAATCTGGAACCGGAGATGAAGGCTTGGTGACTGAGAACCCAAGATTCGAGTGCCATCACTAATAACAGAACCAAAAACACCCACCAATTCAAAATTGAAAATTCATGCAAAGAACTATGAATAAAGGCAAGTAAGTCAAGAAAGTAGTTGTATCTTGCTTAGTAATAAAATGGGTAAGACAGAGTGGTAAAAGAATTGGTTGTCTTATGCAAAACGTGAATACCTCCAGAAGCAACAGGCAGAACACCTGGTAGAGAAACCCAATCCTGAGTGAAATAAATACCGCGACTTCGATCTTTTTCAATAAAATCATCACGTAGAAGAAATCCTATGTAGGGAAAATAGCTTAAATATTAAAGTGTTTTGGAATAAAAAATTGGAAATGTGAAACGGAGAAATGGAGTAAAATTAGGGTTTGGAAAGGAATGGTGGAAGGTGGAAGAGGTGGCGCGTGCATTCGCAGACATTGCTTGCTACTTACCAGATCCCAGGTTTCACTAACAAGTGGGTTGGAATTTCAACTTTTTCAGTTTTGTTTTAATTCACATTTCATTCCAATTTTTTTAAAAAGGAAATTTTAGTTACCAGTGTTAAAATATTTATTTTTTTAATTACAATGTGTCTCTAACCCAACGGGTAAAATATATAAAAACATTTATAATAGGTTGATTATCTTAGTTTTTAAGAAAAAAATATTATGCCTTAAAATTTAATAGTTAATCATACATCTTAATTTGTTTTTTTTTAAGAAAATTAATTTACATATGTTTAATTCCTGTTTAAAAGAAGTAACTATAAATAATTTATTTGAACTTATTTTTATATTATAAATACTTACGAGAGTATTTCATGTATAATATATTTTTAATTTATTTTCATATTTTTTTTTATATAACTTATTAGAATAATTTCCGTTTAAAAAAAACTTACTAGAGTAATATATACCGGACAAAAAGACTTACATGTCAGTTTCGAATAAAGTCAAATATAAAGAATATGTTTATTTTTATTTTTATAAATTAATTTTTTTCTCGGCACCTGAATTAATATAAATATTAACATATACATACAATTATAATTATTTGATACTTAAATTTTTTTTCTTAGAAATTGAAAATAAGTAAATGGCGAGTAGTTATTTTCATTTGTAATATTTTTGTAATATCTATAAATGGAATATCTCATTTTAGTGTATATAAATTTTGAATTAATTTAATTTTATAACTATTAATTTAGGTATTTTTTTCATTATTATTTATTTATTTATATATTTGTTTTCTCTTTGTTTTACTTCAACAAAATTCAACTTTCCAACTTTTTACCCTTTAAATAATGAATAATTATCTTTTTTATTTTTTAAAAAAAGACATGAAGTAATTTTTTTTCTTCTAATATATATAATGTTAGTATATTATCTATTTATTTAAATTTTTATTTTTAAAATATTTTTTTATAAGTATTTATGTAATAGTGTATCCTAAAACTTTTTAAAGTTGTGTAAGATCTTATTAACATGTATATTCAAATAAAGAGAATTTATTAATTTTTAAGGATTTATAGCATTTCTAATAATATAACTCATTTTATGTTACCATTTTTTTTAGACCTTTAATTAATTACTCATCATATTCTCTATACTTAATGGTTTATAATTTAATAGCAAAAACAACTGCTTACCTAGGACTAGATATTCACAATACTTAAATATGTACTTTACATTGTGTTTATAAGTGTAAAAATGACTTTGTAAGTGTAAAACAATATATGTACAATAATCTAGAAATGTAGAATATACTCTCTAAATTGTCGATCTAGCAACATTTGCTTGCAAGCTATGTAAGAGTAGCATCAAAACAATATCAACATCATCATCTATCAAATGACCTCTAGCGCATATCTCTTCATATCTATTTCTACTCTACTTTCATACCAAATATGATTATTATAGTCTAATTATATGAAAATACATAAGGATAATCTAATGTTTAAAATAATTCAACAAAATCAGTATAAAAATATAAGTAAATATATTGTCAACTTACAACTTTTTCACACAATACAACATATTATCAACTTGAACAACACAAGATTAGCACCTCATGTTACAACACAACAGCACCTTTCATCACAAGTAAACATTGCATATGACAACACTACTCAATCTATATATCATATGCACAACATAGCAACTAAATGCATCATCATGCATTTCAATCGAAAAGTCTCATACAATACAAGTGAACATTCTAAGTGGTTTGATCCTATAGAACCAACAACTCGATCTTTTCAATCAAGTATGATCAACAACCAATTTGGATAAAAATTACCAACACAACATGGTTTCTCGAATTTTTGCACTTAAATTAGAAAGTATAGTATTCTTGTAAGGGTATAACAACTTGGGTGTGAGTCTATTACATTATTAGCTAGCATCACTAAGTCGTCTATAGATTTAACTTGTTGAGTATCCTTCAAATACTATACCCTTCGAGTACTTAATTAGGGATTTTAATCTCCAATCTTATACCTTCCTCTAATTTGGTCTCTTTATACATGCATGCATCGACCTTTCCCACATATAGATCAATAATGGTCGCTTGTAGTTGGTATGCCTTGACCTGATCCACATACTGCATCAACTAAGGTCCTAGAGGAGACTAACTATCCTTTTTAAGGGTCAACTTCCTAGGAAAGATTAAAAAAAAAATTGGACTCTCAAAGCACGATAACACAATATTCTCACAATGGGATATGCAATTTTAAAAAGACTCTTCCTCAAGTCTTAGGTCAATCAATATAATACAACTTTGATGTCAAAGTATTCTAAACACAACTACTCAACTAAACAACATACAACTCAACTCAACTTTTAATCATTCAACTAAATAACATACAACTAAACTCAACTAAGCAACTATACAATATCATATATCAATATATAGAGACATGACATCAATATACAACATATAGTACAACATAGACACCATACAACATGTTCACCAATTTCATCATAAGCAACAAGTTAAAATAACACAACCTGCACCTGTTGTTATCTACCATACGTCTGATGCCATCGAGGTAAGGAGCCTTCTGCCTCACCCACACTTGATGTCATGCAACCTATGCTCGAAGTGGATTAGGTAAAGTTCCCCTGGACCTTCATGTCTGGCATGGTGAAGTCCCATGCTTGACCTCAAACCAACCCAAGATGATTCTCTCTCCTCACACCTAACACCACTCCTTTGATGCTTGACACCAAATTAGGCAGGGTCAATTATTTCATCCTAACCCAACACCATTCAAATCACGCCGATGTTAGTTCAATCCAAGACAATTCTCTCTCTTCACATTCGACACCACCAATCTTGCACTGACATAAGTAAGACAAAGTGTTTCTGATTGAACCACATCCAACTCCATGAAGGCACGTACGGAGTGACTAAGAGTTTGGCATATAAAGATCACAAATTTGGCCCTCCTATCACCTAAAAACCAAGAAATATGACATGCAACACAAGAAAACATAATCACACAACATCAACAACTCATTTTCAACAACTTCAACATGCAATCAACACAATGATCAAATCATCAAATTCTTTCAACATATTCAAGAAAACACCCAAAACCTAAAATCTTTAAATCTTCTATCGCAAAAACATCATTACAACCATGATCTAACCACAATCATACAACACAACTTTAAAACCCAATAAGAAACCAAGTTTTAACTTCCTCTACCTTAACTCTAAGTCAAACTAGAATGAAGAAAAGGAAGAATGAGGTTTCAAGCTCTAAAAAAACTTCACACCAACAACAATCCTTGGCTCCAACAGCTCCAAATCACTGTCTAGCTACTCCACTACAATCTTCTAAAACTCCATAGACTAGAAAGAGGAAGAAGAAGGGTTATTAAAACCAAAACTCTTCTCTCTAGACTTTCTGCATAAATGAACTTATGAAATCTACTTCTTAAGAAAAACCTTATATATTATTTTCTATTGGTCAACTTGACCTTTACTCAAAGCAATCATCTAATAACTGAAACTTAGAGGAATTCCTTAATTCCTTAGAGTTTATCAATATAAAACAACAATATTTATTTTAATAAAATCAACAACAACTAGTAAACAAGTACATTATTACATTTAAGATATTTCTCTATTTTTTTTTGCTATAATGAAAAAACTTGATTTGAATTCTTAATTCACTTTATGTTGGTTCCATAATGAACTCCACTATTTTATATTTTTATTTAAAATTATTTGTTAATAAATAATTTTTTTAATCATTTTTTAAGAAACTAAAAGATTGCATTAATATAAAAGTAGGCATGAGGCATGTTGGTACAAGATGCAAATAAAACACCAAGATGGACAAACAAGTACTTAACAAACCCCCTTGCTAACAGTCATAAATTGCCTAGATACATATTTTGCACACGTACCAACTCACCGATAATATCTTCTAACTTAGCATCGAAAGACATGTTAATTGATTTTGAAACCAGCATGCTAATGGGTAGTGCACCCGTGCTTTACCATAAATTGCCACGATAGAAGTTGCACCCTCTCTAACATATCAGATTTTGACAACACCTTTGCATTAAAACTGACATCATTTTTTACCTTCCAAATCATCTACAATGTTGCATACCAGACACAACACCAAGTCTGTTTTTTTCTTTCCTGAAAACCCATCACACCAAAAAAGAACATGTTTTGTAATGCAAAATTCGTCGGAGTAAGCAATGCAAGCCTTAGTTCTACGCTATTTTAGGGTCCCAATGGGTATGGTAGTGTTAGTACCACAAAGTGCAAACCTTATGCCATGTATATAACTAATTTCTGTTGACTTTTTCATTCCATCCACCGATTACGAGATTCATTAGTAACAAAATCAAAATGAATTTAGAGTAATTAATTGTTATAAAAGTTTTCACCCACTAATTTCTTGAAGTTAGATCAGAGGAAGTTTTTAGAGAGTGCTTCGACCAGTTTCTTATTTTATTCTTCTGTTTCAATCAAAGTAGAAAAGTTAGGTAAGTTACTCATAGTATTAAAAAAATAATATAAAACTAAGAGTAATATAGAATATAATATTTAAACGAAATAGTATATGTTTTAAAAAGTTAAATAGAATTTCATTATATTTTATTTATATACATGGTTGCTAAAAGATGATAATATACAATATATTTCTAAAATTGATTTGC